CTGGTTATCAGTCCTTTGTCTGATGTATAGTTGGCAAATGTTTTCTCCCACTCTGTGGGTGTTCTCCTCAGTTTAGAGACCATTTCTTTGAGAGCTTGTTTGGAGGTTCTAGCAGGGGAGCGCAGCTACTCGTATACCCTTGACCGAAGAACGGTCCTCCTCTATCGGGGATAGTCGTCCTCTTCGACCGAGCGCGCAGCTTCGGGAGGGACGCACATGGAGCGGTGAGGGAGGAAGGGGACACCCGCCTAGCCAGCCAGATCAGCCGAATCAACCCTGGCGATCAATGGGGTGACAGATGTCGCAGCCAGATCGCCCTCACATCCTAGAGACCATTTCTTTTAAAAAGCTTCAATAGCTCTTGAAGCCACCCTCAGATCCCATTGCTTCCTGCTTATTCCAGAGGTAACTTCACTACCTGCAGGAGGAATCCATGTGCCCTGGTCTTGATTCCAAAGCTCTTTACCCTACTTCATACACCTATTTCCTGCCTTTGTCTTGTCCTCCAAATCCAACTACTTGTGGCTCGCTCTGAATTCTCTCCATGTTCTCTTTGCTTTCTGTTCTTTCAACTTTGGTATTTTCTCGACCAGGGGCTCTCCTTGAAGGTCTGGAGTAACTTCTCTCTCTTTGTGCTGCTCGACTCCCACTGTCTCTACCCCTCCCACTGGCAGACTTGGAAATGCTTTTCTGAGTCTGAAAGCCCCTTGACATAATCACATTCAGGCACATTCCACCTTTTGCTCTGTTTTCCATTAGCTGTCCTCTGCATTCCTCTGTGAACACTTTGGGTTGGGGACTAACGGTTGACTTTTGTAAGTCAGCATTCATGGTGTGTTGTGCCTGATGCATGAGTACAAGCTCAGAAATGCTAGTTGAGTGAATAATGAGGGTGAGAGATGCTCCTGGCTTACGAGGGGATGAGAGTCAAAAGTTGTGTGCAGATTTTTTAGAATACTTTGCAGTTTTTAGATCTTTTTCCCTTCTCAGTTCCTGGGGGCAGTGGCTTTCCATGTTGGTATTTCTTATGGTGGAGAGTATTTCCTGATGTCTCCTGATTCACTCAGCACTGTAGTGTGTCCTTCAGGGTTGACCAAGACTGAGACACAGTCTCCATCTAAAAAAAAGGGGCAGTAAGTCGGGTTGTGAAACCATTAAGTGACTAGTGGCTGCTTTAGTTGTGAGAAAGGAGAAAAGGAACGGAAAGGTGTTTGGCAAGGGCTTTGTGGAGAAGGCCAGGATGAAGCTGGGCAAGGTGAGGAATTCACTTTCTCTTCCTGGCGGCAGTGGTGGTTCATATTCCATGAGTTTCAAGTTTTGGCATTTGTTCATAACCTTTAGCGCCATTTTCCTTCACTTAGCCCAAACCATCTTTTCACTCACTGGTGATGTGTTCTGTTTGTAGATGCTCGTTTCATGGTGGCACCTGAACAAACAGGTTGCCTGACCACTCAAAAGAAATGATAGCTGCAAATGATGAGAATATCTGATGTAGTTCTCATTTGTAAGTTAGTGTCATAGGATTTAAAATCTTGATTCTAGAAATTGTTGAACACAGAAAAGAACCTTTTATTATGGCTAATTTTCTTTAAAAAGTGATACTTTGAGTTTTGATGAACTAAATTTCAGAAATGGTTATGATTGTTGAATGCGTAACATTTGTGATATTCCTTCTCCTGTGAATTCAACCATCATCTCCAGTAGATAAACTCACTCCTGAACAGTGAAGGAGAGAGGAATTTTGTGCACTTGGAGTGTGGTGTGAGGTGTCTTTTCATTTGATCAGTCTGTAAACATACTCCCTTCTATCGATATTTTTCACTTGATGGTTCAGATTGCCACTGTTTGGCAGGAGAGAAGGGAGAAATCTCTTCATAGAATGTGACTGGATATGTTGAATGACAGTTCGTGCTGTGTCACACTGCTTGGGAAAAGAATTAGTGTTGATGCAAATAAGCTGTTTAGCTGGTGGTAAAAACATCTCAGGCACCTTTTTCAAGTAACATTAGCCATTGGTCTCCGGCTCCTTGAACTCATTCTCATTGACAGCCTTCTTCTGGTAGGAATGAGTTAGGGAGTAAGCTGATCCCAGACTATCTGTGGCTGCTTTTGCTGTGCAGGCCCTTCCTGCAGTCAGGAATGAGAAACTTTGGGCCAGGGGCCCACTTACATCCCACTTACTCTTAAAGGACCTGCTCATGACCCATTACACTGTGTGTCACTTCTAGCTGAGCCCTGAACTAGCAGCAGCTTGGTGTTCAGGGTTGCATTTGAGACCCTCTTAATTTGGCAGGGAGTGGTTACTCATGATGGCTGAGGGACACAGGGAGGGCCTGGGAAGGCTGGAGGTTCAGGTCCCTTGGGCTTATTTGAAAAAAGGAAGTGGGTAGAGTGGAGTTCTCCAAACACAGAAAAGAAACAGTCTTTGTTCCACAGTGGATTCGTCCCAGGAAGAAAATAATCAAAAGGAATCAGAGCAGTGGTCCATCAGTGGGTTTTGGTTCATTTGCTTCAAAATTGGCTCTTCTAGCCAAAAATTTTATGTTCTCCCTTATATTGTATTTTAGTTCTAAAACAATTGCAGTAATGTTATTGGACATGGGTCACACGCTAAGGGGAGAACACATACAGGAGGAATAGGGAAAGGGAAGGAAACCTAAAACATGAGAGTGTTTGTGCCCACTGTAGAGGAGCTAATAAAGTAATCTTAAACTGACAGAGGCCACTATGGGAAGGTGACGGGAAGTAGTGAAGAGGTCTGGTAGAGATGAACCAATGTGGGTTGTAGTATACAAGTGCATGGAAGCAATGCTAGGAATCTCTCTGTGTAGCTATCCTTATTTCAAACTAGCAAAAACGCTTTGTCTTTCTTATTATCTCCTGTGTTTTCTCTTCAACAAAATTGGAGAAGAAGACAGAACAGGTTCTGCTTGGAAGTGAGGGGGTGGTAAAGGGGAGCAGGGGTGGAGGGGAGAGATGGCCCAAACAATGTATGCACATAGGAATAAATGCATAAACAATAAAATAAGGTAAGTTGGCCCTTCTATTGGCATTGAATTTCTCCAGTTACTAAACATGTTTGTGGGGAAGAACTGTGGAAAAAGTGACTTTGCTGAAAGAGCAATCAAATAATATTCTAGACTGTGTGTTTGTGAGGGAGACAGAGGAAGGCTCTCCAAGGAAACCCAGACCAGGGCAAAGATCAGCCCACAAGGATAGTTCATCTCTGGCTGACCACGTTGTACCCTCTCTGCAGCCTACCCATCACTGAAAGGGCTTTGAAAACTCTTCCCTGCCAGGGTCTTCTGTACTGGGACATCCAGGTATCTCCCCTGACTGACCCCACCCCCACCCACCCACACCACCACAATTCCTTTTTCTAGCTGTCACCACATATGTGGCTCCCACTTTCCTGGATCCAGCTTCTCTAGGTCTGCATTTCTAAGATGCTCTCTCTTAGCCTTAATCTGGCATTTCTCTTGTTCTTCATTTTTAGGGAGAATCGAAATCTGTCTATCTAAGATGGCTTTCCAAGAGCAAGTTCTTTGCTGTTTGGCTTTTGTGCATAGTTTGTCCCTAGGATGCAGGCTTGGGGAAGTAGGAAGTCAGCTCAAAGCTGCTGGTGACCGGGGCAGTGAACTTCCATGTGTGCATCATTTACTTCAATAGCAGTTTATTGACCAACCATGTGACCCATCAGCTATAAAATCAAGGCGAAGTTAGGCCTATCTTCATAGACCATTGCTGCCTCTGCAGGGCACTCTGGGGAGTTAATATTTTATAGGGACTGTGGAATAGGCTGAAGGGCCAAGCTCTAGTGGATACAGTGCTGGTGCATTTTATGGCAACAGGGAGCGTGATGAAAACAAGGCGGCCAGTTGATGGAAACACCTGTTCTTAAAATCTTTATAGGCTTGGAAATGTGAAGGACAAAATAATGTATCCAAACGACAAGAAGCATATTTCATGAAATTTCCTCTGAGTGTGTCACTTACACACCTACCTCACTTAGGAAATCCTTTCAGTTTTGGTTTCAGGTCACTCTTCCACTGACTTCAGGGGCCTGATTCTTGTATGCCGTCCTCCTCAGTGTTCAAAGAGAAAGGGAACTTTCTCTTTGTCTGGGATTTTAACAAGTTGAACTACTGCAAATCATAATCCAAAATACCAGCTCAGAAGACAGGGTTCCTTTAAAGTTCTTTAATTTATTATACATGAAGTGTTGGCTAAGGAAGGCTTAAAAAAACAGCAGGGGACTAGAAAGTGAGGGATTGGACTCTGAAAGCTGTATGCCACTTTGGGCTGTCATTGGTTTGTATCTGGGGTTCCTGATCGGTCAGGAAGTCATCGGGACTGGCATTAGGGTTTTCATCTTCATTTGGTCTGATTTTGATGTCCGTGTTTTCTTTACTCTTCACTGGGTGTCATCTATGTGCCATCCAGCTTTCCATCACTCTAATGAACTGTACCTGAGAAAGACAGACCAACGCAGAGAGAGGAGGTTTATTTCGGCTCATAGTTTTAGAGGCTTCAGCCCATGGCTGATTGGCCCCTTTGCTTTTGGGCCTGTGGTGAGGCAACACATCATGGCAGGAGCACATAGTAGGGCAGAGCTGTTCACCTCTTGGCTGGGAACAAACTGGAGAGGAAGAGGAGGGGCAGGCTCCCACTGTCTCCTCAAATGCACAGCTCCAATGACCAGACGACCTCCCACAATGCCCCACTCCTGAAGTCTCCCCACCCCAATAGTGCCACAGATTGGAGACATGGGCCTTTGGGGACATTCCAAATCCAAATGATAGCAATCTCTGGTGGATTTTAATCTTTGGTTCAAAAAGTTTGGGAGCACAACTTCAAAGACAATAACCCCCAGGTACTCTTAAGCTGAATTGTAAATGTAATTTTGAATATAATTTGATTGACTAATCAAGTAATTATTTGTGGAGTTACTTTTTTCTTCTCTGAATATTTGTTTGAAATGTGATGCTCTTTTCCCTCAGGTGATAGTCCCAACCCTCCCAAGGAGGACACCCCCACCAGCAGTCAGGATTCACTTTCCTCCCCATCTCCAACAAGTGCTGCCTGGGGGCCTCCTGGACCAGATAGAAACCACCTTCCAGCGGATGGAGGGAGCTGGGCATCCACTACGTAAGTTGCTGGGCTTTGGTTTGGTGCTGAGGAGAGCTGACGTTCTTCATCTTCATGTTGACGTTCATAGGAGCTCTTAGATCCAAGGACACTTATTTTCCAGTCAGTAGGGCTGCCCCAGGAAGAAGGGCTGCACAGTGAAACCTTTCTTGAACAGTGTCTCTATGTCCCCAGTCTAGAAGGGGAAATGCGTGCTGCTTCTAATCTAATAAAAGTTCAGTTGGGGATAGTTTTGGGTTGTACAAAGGAAGTTAGCTGCTGTCTTGCCCAGTGGTTCTGTGAACACTACAAGATGAGATGCAGGGCTGTGATGGAGAGTCTCTTGAAGCCGTCATTGAATGATTTTTAGTGATGTGAATTTTTGACAGCAGTGTGCTGGCATCCTGCTGTTCTTTAGTGCACAGCAGCGTGCAGAATGGAGATTCGATTAATGGTATCTGATCGTATCTCCTGTTTGGTTTAGTGCCAGGCACGTGCGGATCAGCTCAGGCACATTAGGATAAATAACACATAGCACAAACAAAACCCCTGGAGCTTTTTGAGGACATGAGACTTGCCCTTGCTCTGTTGACTAAAGCTGTGCGGTCCATGCAGAATGCATGACTCAGGACCTCCAAAAGGTGTCTGATTTCAAACACATGCACTCACAACACAACATCCACTTTGCAAATAATTACAAGACCTTACTTGATTCGGCAGGCAGGTTACAGCTAAAAACACATTTATAATTCACCTATAGAGTAATAAAAAATTTTAAACCAAAGTTGCTTAAAATAGATTATGGATAATGATGACATCTGACCCTGGCTGGGCATTCTTGGGACTTTAATGATTGGACAGTGTTCCTCACATTACTTGGCTTTTTATAGTTCCAGCTAGATTCGCATGAAATCATTATGAACTTATTAAGTATTAAGAGAGGCTGGGAGAAATTTGGCATGCTGAAATGTTGGGGTGACCTGATGCAATTGGAAAGCTAACCTAAAATCAGAGTGCAAGTCCCAGTGTGGAAACACATTCTCCAAATGTGACCCCAGATTGTCATAGATGTTTAATATGCTGAATATCGTATATTGTGAGTTTAAATTACTTATACCTCAACTATGCTCGTCACCTTCACTATTTACCCACTATAGAGAGTCTTTTACTTCGGTGTTACAAGTAACAGCAATGTCAGTTATCCAACATCTGTAATCCTGGCTACACTCCAGGTGGAATTTAGCCTGCGTGTGTGTCCTGGCAAAAACCAGATCCCTAATTATCTCTTTCAGTAAGTGCCTATCACAGTCAGTAGAGCACAGTTTAGTCAGTCATCTTTCTTCCATGGTGGCTGTGCAGAAAAGTGACATTATGGGCCATGGGATAGCCAATGCTCCATTCACAACGCGTCTGGGCCTGAAACAAGAAAAGCTTGATATTTTTGGTTATAAATCAAATGAGATGTGAATTCCCCAGCTTCCTATCCATATGCATTTGAAAATGTCATGAAAGCCCTCCAATCTTGAGAGCCAGAAAGGGAAGGGGTGGGGTGCAGTGGAAGCAAGTCTGGAAGGGGGTTTTTGTAATAATGTAGACTTGCTCCTACTTTTAACAAACCTGAAAACTTCTTTTTCTTATGCAGTGACTGAAATTTATCTCTCTTTCTGTTAAGTATTAGAGCGGTTCTGGTGCATGTTTGAAAGTATTTGCTTGTCAGTGTGTGTCAGCCCAGATTTATCTTTTGTATATAGATGAGGAGTGCTCCTCCAACTTGACTACACCCCAGAATCACCTGTGGGACTTATTAAAACCCATATTTCTGAGCCAGTGGTGTGGCTCAGTGGTAGAGCTCCTGAATGCTTGGGGTCTTGGGTTTGATTTTAAAACAAAACAAACCCCTCCACTCACTCTTGGGCCTTCCCCATAGCTGAGAAGGGGCCTAAAAGCCTGCATTTCTAGCAAGTTCTCAGGTGCTGAGTGGTGAGCCCTGACTTGGAGAACTGGGATGTCCCCTTCTCCTCCTGGCTGTAGCCTGTGTGATTGCAGATAGCATCTGTGAGGAGTGTGATTAGCTTACGTAGATTCTCTCCCTGATTGGTTAATGTTTTTAATTGACACACAATAGTTGTATGTATGTGTAGGATGTAGTGTCACATTTCAGTACATACAGTCAGACTGGTGGAGTGGCTCTAGGGGTCAGAGCGCCTGCCTAGCAAGCATGAGGCCCCGAGTTCAAACTTTAGTGCTGAAAACATACATATATACAATGTGTAGTGATCAGATCAATTATTAGGAAATCTATCACTTCAAACACTTACCATCCCATTGTTTGGGAACATTCCAGATAATATCTATTAGCTGTTTGGAAATATACAACCTGTCAGCAGCAAATAACCCTACTCTGCTGTAATAGAGCGTTAGAAGTCAGTCCCCTATGGTATGGTGTGGTGACTCATGCCTGTAAATCAAGGTACTCAGGAGGCAGAGATGGAGAGAAGTATAGTTTAAGGTCAGCTTTGGCAAAAAGTTAGTGAGACCCCCCCCTCCATCTCAACAAATAAGCCAGGAGTGGCAGTACATGTCTGTGATCCCAGCTTCCTGTGAGATATAGGTAGGAGGCCAAAACAAAAAGTGAGATCCTATGTAAAAAAATAACCTAAAAGCAAAAGGAGCTGTAGGCATGGCTTAAGTGCCTATTCTTAAGTGGTAGAACACTAGCCTAGCAAGTGCAAGGCCCTGAGTTCAAATCCCAGTACCCACCCCAAAAAAAAAGCCTACTTGTCAAACTATACCCCTGTACTCATTATCAATTCTCTCTCCATTCCCCTGCCTCTTTCTCTCCCTCCCTGCCTCCGTTCTTCCTTTCCCAGCCTCCAGTAATCACCGTTCTACCCTTCAGTTCTATGAGGGCCATGTTTGTGACTTCCCCATATAAAGGAGAATGTGCATTTTTTAGAGAGGCTCGCTAGGGTGGTACACTTTGTCCTCCCAGTGGCCAGCGTGTGCTTCCTGTGCCCTAAGACTGGCTGCTTCAGGTATCTCCCCAGCCATTTGCCCAAGAGAGTCCGCCCTGACTTGGGGGTTGAATTTAATCCGCACCTCCGGGCAGTCCCCTTGTACTCGTCTCATAGGATGCCTCTGAATAATCCTTCCTTTGCTGGCAACTTATTGTCAGGCATTAACACAGTACTGCCTTGGTGTTTGATGTTTATGTGCTATGTGTATGGCTGTCTGTGTAATCTTTCTCTTACCGCATTCTTAATGATAGGGATTGGATATTATATACTTTGAACTGTTTGGTGATATTGGCATAGGTATTAGTAAATATTATATTATTCTATATTTATAAAAATCTTTCCCTCTGGAAGCCTCATTTCCTTCTATCCGTCATCGAGTGTCCCTTAGGCTGTTAGGTTTGATTTCTGACCCATCTTCCTTCCTCCTTATAAACTTGTCCTCCAGGATTCACATACACTCAGTCTAACCATTTGTTTTCACAGCATTTATCTTTGTTTCCTTACATTCATACGGAGTCTTCGTTGTGTGTGAGCGCTTCACCTCTGCACGCCAGCTCTACGGTATAACTATAGTAAGTTTTCTTAGTACGTACTGATTAACAAGTTCCTTGTTAGCCAAAGTTGCTCTGAGGCCATTAAACCTCTGCCCAGGGCTTGAAGAGGAGGTCCTGCCTCTGCTCCTCGTTGTCAGTTGAGGTGTTGACTCTGTGTTCTGTGGAGTCCACATGTCTGTGGATAGATCACACAGGACCCCAGTCACTCGGTGTTATGGGAATGCCTGAGCCTTGGTTGCTAGACCACAGATTTGCAGAGGAAAACCTAGAACAGCTATGGTTCTGACATGGGCGTGTAAATACAGCTGTGGCCTCAGCAGGTGGAAAACAGCACGGCAGAATTGGATTTCTTGGGCTTCTGATGTTTATGACTTGTGGGGATTGTCAACCTGGAGCTATTACTTACCTCTGCACTCTGTAAGGTGATGGGTGGCTTCATTGCCAGGGAAGAATTGCTAGCTTAGTCTCCTTGGAGGACATTACAAATGTTCCAGTATTTCAAATGTTCCAGTCATTTTTCCCCTCAATAAAATATTTTTCTCTAAGCAGGTTCTTTTCGATTGTAATTGATGGAGCCAGGTCCTTGACAAATAATGCTTTTAGGTTCTCTGCCACAGAAGAAAATCTTTAAGAAAATACCAAACATTGCTGCCTGCTTCCTTACAGATTTTGAATGAGTGTTGCTACCACATTCAAAGTGGCATTATCACTAGGAGTTCTTTCTAGCTGCGGATGTTGGTATCCTGAGTTGTATCTTATGCTGAGCCCTGCCAGGTATCATGTTGGGTGGGTATCTTGAATATTAAGATGCACCCCCAAAGCTGGGCATGGTGGTGCGTGCCTCTAACCCCAGCTCTTCAGAAGATGGAAGAAGGATTGTGGTCTGAAGCTGGCCCCAGACAAAAGCATGAGACCCTATCAGAAAAGTAAAGGAAAGCCAAAAGGTCTGGAAGTGTGGTTCAAGGGAGAGAATACTTGTGTAGCAAGCACAAGGGTCCTGAGCTTTAAGTTCTAGTACTGCCAATAACTAAGTAAATAAATAAACTAATTAATTAATTAATTTCCCAAAGTATCTATCCCAGCACTGTTGTACCATGGAGATTTGTGCCTACTCAGACTGGATGTTGGGCAGCTGGTTGGTTGGCCAGCTGTTTGCTGCTGGGATTGAACCAAGGTCCTTGGTTTGTCGTGCACACGCTCTACCATGACTGAGCTCTATCCCAGGCCACTGTTGGTTATTTAGCATCACTAGATAAAAGCTGGGCATGATGGTGCATGTGTGTACTCCCAGCAACTCGGGAAGCTGAGGCAGGAGGATCTTTTGAGGCAGTGAGTTTGGGGCCAGCCTGGGCAACATAGAGACTCTATCTGGAAACAAACAAAACCCAAAACAACACAAGAAGTATACTCCTCCTCCCATATACAGCCCTGTGCAAGCTGTGCACATACT